CTGGGATTTGGGATCCCATTCCCACTGGGATTTGGGATCCCATCCGAGGCAATTCCCAGCTCCAGCCTGGAGAATTCCTGCTGGGATTTGGGATCTCATTCCCACTGGGACTTGAGATCCCATCCAAGGCAATTCCCAGTTCCAGCCTGGCCCATTCCCACTGGGATTTGGGGTCCCATTCCCTGCTGGGATTTGGGATTCCATCCCTGCTGGGATTTGGGATCCCATCCCAAGGCAATTCCCAGCTCCAGCCTGGCCCATTCCCACTGGGATTTGGGATCCCGTTCTCACTGAGATTTGGGATCCCATCCTGTGGCAATTCCCGGCTCCAGCCTGGCCCATTCCCACTGGGATTTGGGATTCCATTCCCATTGGGATTTGGGATTCCATCCCTGCTGGGATTTGGGATCCCATCCCAAGGCAATTCCCAGCCTGGCCCGTTCCTGCTGGGAATGCCCAGCTGGGACCTCGCCCCATCCCAGTGGGATCTCGCTGCTCCCTGGGATTCCGGCGATGGAACCCACGGATGGGGAGACTCCAGAATTCCAGGGACCCTTCCCCCTGTCCTTCCCGAGCTCCAGCGCTGTCCATCCCGGGAAAACGGGGACGGCTGGAAAAGCCTCCAGCCGGGAAAGGGTCACGGTGGGCGGATCCCGAAACTCAGCCCGGCTTTGGAAGCTCCGGGACGGATCCAGGGAACGATCCCCAGGGAAGGCGGCTCAGGCGGGATCCGGGATGCTCCAGCTGGATCTCATCCCCCGCTCCCCGCCCGGGATTCCTGGAGCCGCGGGGTGAGGAGGGCGCCGAGGTTTTCCCGACCTTTCCCACTTCCAGCGGCTCCCGGGGCGCCCCGATCCGCCCGCTCCCATTCCCGGCCCTTGGAAGCGCGGCCGGGATCCAAGGGAAAGCGAACATTTCCTGCCCCTGCCCAGGCTCCAGGGAGCGGGAGGAGGAGAACAACCGGGATTCCGGGATTTGGGGTCCCCGAAACCCTGGGAAGTTCCAGGGATGTTGATTCCTGGCCCAGCAGAAGGTTTGGATCGCGCTCCCGATGGGTCCTCGCCCTTCCCGGTGGGAATTTTCCAGGAATTCGGGCAAATCCGGGTGGTCCCACCCTCAGGGATGGCTTCGCTCCGGCCCCATCCCAGAAATCCCGCTCCAGAGACCTCTCCCTGGGATGAGCCCCGAGAATTCCAAGCGGAATTCCATCAAAATCCCGGAGCCAGGGAGGCACCTCCAGCCTTTCCCAGGGCCAGGGGTTTGTTGGGAATTCTGGGATCGGTCCCGGGGGGCTGCGGCTCTTCCCTCCCGGCTTTTCCAGCTGAAGGGATGGGAACAGCAGGATCGGGAAGCTGGGAAGGGGCAGGAGCAGGGACATCAGCTTTTGGGATTGGGATCAATACTCGGGGATTTCCTGGATGGGGAATTCTCCCTCCGGATCCAAAGCTGGCCTTACCCCCACAGCTCCCCTTGGAATCAGCTCCATGAGCCCCTTGGAGCATTCCCAGGTGGAATTTATCCGGAGCTGGATGTTCCCAGCTCAGCCAGATCTTCCCTGCTCTCCCAGCCGGGAATTCCTGCCCAAGATCCCAAAATCCCAAGCTCCCCTTTCCCACTGGGAATTCCATTCCCTGGCTCCTGCCCCTCCAGCCCTTCCCCAAATTCCAGCTCTCCGGGAGCCCCTTGGGGATCGGGAAGCAGCTCCAAGGATTCCCTGGATCCTTCCCTGATCCAGGGGAACATTCCCGGCTCTCCCAGCCTGGCATTGCATCCATCCTGATTCCTCCTGGAGAAGGAATTTCAGGATCCAGTGGCTTCACTGGGAATTCGGGACTCCAGGAAGGGTCTCCCTTCCCTTTTCCATCCCCGAATTCCATAAAAATCCCTCGAGATGGATCCAGAGGTGGATCCAGAGGCAGATCCAGGGGTGGATCCAGGGGTGGATGCATGGGTAGATCCCCAGGTGGATCCCGAGTGGATCCCGAGGCGGATCCGCCCTCACCGTCCTCGCAGAGGTTCATCTTGGAGAGGCTCCGTCGCTCCAAGGGCTCCTCCAGGACGGATCCGTTCTCCCACTCCGAGAAGGTGTGGAGATCCACGGCCTTGCTCTCCATCCCGCTGGAGAAAAACGGGAATGTCCCACGGAGCTGGGCCTCGGGACATCCCAATCCCAATCCCAGTTCCCGTCCCAGCCCCAGTCCCAATCCCATTCCCAGTCCCAGTCCCAATCGCATTCCCAATCCCAGTCCCAATCCCAATCCCATTCCCAATCCCAGTCCCCATCCCAGCCCCAGTCCCAATCCCAGTCCCAGTTCCAGTCCCAATCCCATTCCCATTCCCAATCCCAATCCCGTTCCCAATCCCAATCCCAGTCCCAATCCCATTCCCAATCCCATTCCCAATCCCAGTCCCAATCCCAGTCCCAATCCCAGTCCCCATCCCAGTCCCAATCCCAATCCCAGTCCCAATCCCATTCCCAATCCCAGTCCCAATCCCAGTCCCAATCCCAGTCCCAATCCCAGTCCCAATCCCAGTCCCCATCCCAGTCCCAATCCCAATCCAAGTCCCAATATCCATTCCAATCCCAGTCCCAGTTCCAGTCCCAGTCCCAGTCTCAATCCCTGTCCCAATCCCAGTCCCAATCCCAGTCCCAGTCCCAATCCCCGTCCCATTCCCAATCCCAGACCCAATCCCATTCCCAATCCCAATCCCAATCCCAATCCCAATCTCCATTCCAATCCCAGTCCCTATCCCAGTCCCTATCCCAGTCCCAATCCCCGTCCCATTCCCAATCCCAGTCCCAATCCCAGTCCCAGTTCCAGTCCCAATCCCAGTCCAAGTCCCAATCTCCATCCCAATCCCAATCCCAGTTCCAGTCCCAATCCAAGTCCCAATCCCAGTCCCAATCCAGCATCGGGATGGGGCAGGTGAGCGCCCACCCACAGCTCCCGGATCCCAAAATCAGCGGGACACGGAGCTGGAGAGGAGAGCACGGAGCTGCTCCAGAGAGCCGGGAATGTTCTCCTGGATCGGGGAAGGATCCCGGGAATCCTTGGAGCCGCTTCCCGATCCCCAAGGGGCTCCGGGAGAGCTGGAATTTGGGGAAGGGCTGGAGGGGCAGGAGCCAGGG